TGGGGCTACCAATTATAGAACCCACGCTACGGGGATATATGACCACACTGAGGTCCATAAGTATTCTTCTTGGTGATTTTAAAAATTGAAACTAAGATAAAACATGTGCTTTGCTCACAGAAGAGCCTCATGGAGAAAGCAGGTTAAAAAGAATACTTTTAGCCAATATATAGAGAGTGAAGAAACAAAGGACATTGTTCCAGGTTTTGGTTCCAGCTGTCACTTAAGCCAGAGCATCCTCCCCACTTCACTCAACCTGAAGTTTGCTCATGGAAGGTGTGGTTTCATCACTTGCAAAAATCTAACTACCTTCCAACTAGGACAACATCCGTGATCTCTTTTACACCTCCCACCAATTGTTGCAATACACACTATCTTTATTTTATAGATAATGAACCAGAAGCTCAGAATAGATAAGAAACATGCCCAAGGCAACCAATTAGTGGCTAAGTTGAGATGCAAAGAAGAGTCATTCAGATGCCCAAATGCAACTACTCTACTTTCTTGCCTCTCTCTACACGTTCTTCTTTGGGTGTTCTGAACTTCAGTTTGAATTCAGTGAACTTAGACAATATGCATTAAGTCTTCTCTTCATTAATAAATATAGCTTCTATTAGTCTTGATTAACTCCTGGGGGTGTTACAGACTTCAATTGAATAACCTTGATAAAATGCTCTGAGAATATAAATAGACATTGTTTTAGACCACATTATTAGAGGTAATATTTGTCTCTTGTAATGTCAATAAATGAACAGCAGAAAAATAGTGCTCTTTAAAAACAGCAACCTAAAAAAAACCTGTACATAAATATTTGCTATCAGTAATTAATTGAACATTAATATGTTTGCTTTAGACACCAAAATATAATTGGTATTTCAAAGTGGGTTTCCTCAAGAGACCTAAAATTAAAATCAAAAGAGAAACCATTTCTAGAAAATGGAATCTTTCTACTTTTGTAAACATGCTTTTTTTCAACCAGTTAGATTTTTAATTGGGTACTTCTCTGGTCTCAGCACTTATTTATAGAACTAAAGTGGCCCCAGTCTTCAAGGTCAATCATTAACACACATCTGTGAAGTGCTTAGAACCATGAACCTAAGGATAGAGAAAGCAGATACATTCAAATAAAAGGAAAATGGATTTGTGTGTGAAAGTAATTTTCCTCAGAAGGAAAATAGATATCTTCTTCAACATAAGGGTGTATTCAGATTTGTTTTCCCTATTAGTAACTTATTTAATATGGCAATGGGCAAAAGGCAATCCATTAAAAAGCAATTTTCCTGTTACCACAGGATATTTTATCATTTGATGTCTAGCATTCAATCAGAATGTAGCAATTCTTTAATATTTTATGATCAGAAAACAACTTATTTGGCCTATACAGAAACATAGAAAGGTTTTTGTAAGCCTTAAAAAACTTAACTTTTCCAAGTTAGTCCCCTCAAACTTAACATAATTTGTTCCCAAGAGGCTCCTCTCACTGCTATCACTGCAAATTTCAGCCAGAAAATGAATACAACTATTCAAATCATCATCTAAATTACTGCCAATACATTTTTAAATATTCCACTCTGGAAAAAGTATGGACATGTAAGAGCACAATGCAGTTTGTAACTAATTCACCCAAGAACATGTAGGTCCTAAGAGGCACAGTCAAACTCTGTATTTCAGCATTCTCCTCCTCCTACACCAGATCACTTTTCTGCGTTAATTTTTAACACAACAGACATATGTGCATTAGGCAAAAGAGAAGAGCAGAAAGCTGGAATCATCATCCAAGGTGCTGCTGAGAGCACCATAGCACAAGACAGTATGCCTTCTGCTGGCATCAAGATGAGAGTGAACAGCCGAAGTGTGTCATCAGGAGGATGGAAGATGAAGGGAACAAGAAAGGGCAATACAACACATAACTCAGACACAGAAATACCAGCCTCATAGAACACCATGACTTTCCAGTTCCTGAAAACTCTCAGGTGGCTTTGACATGCTTTTTAGTCAGTGACTTAACAATCTCCCCCATGAAACTGAGATAAACACGAAACAGTCACAGTTATCAGACAGAAAAAATTCAGTAGGATTTGTTCAATTTAGGACTTGTATCCTTAAGCTAATAAACTGTAAGCGATGCCGCAGACTGAAATCTCAACAATTTAGTCTAAGATGAAGGATAACTTGAGTCAAGGATCCATGTAAACAGAAATCTTAACATTTTGTGAGGCATAAACCAGAGTAGATTAACACAGAATCCTTTCAGGTTAGGTTGCTACTGTTCTAATGTGAAAATGCCCAGACTGGGACTCATAAGTGTTGGGAGCCAACATCTATAGCTACATGGCTGAGGCCTGTAAAGGCCCATCTGGAGGATCGCCTCTGACATAGGATATCAGTTATACCTATAATATTGGCGTGTGATTAGTGACCAGTGTGCATACATGGCAGTAAAACTTATAAGTAAATATCAATATGCCTGATGGAAAGTGCATAGCAGAATTATTTTTCTCTGTCTTTCTAAGTTTTACTTCTTTCTAGATATTTTTTAACTTTTATTTCCTGGTAGACTGGTTAGTTAGCTCTTGTTCCCAAAGGCAGTTTCTCCTAGGATTAAGATTAGAAACTAAGTTACCATAATAGTTTTATTGCCCTGCCTCTAGCCAGGCAGGACGTTTTTCTAGTTTTGTTACATGCCGAAACTCCGTTTCCTTCAGCCCGAGGTCACTGTCATGGTAACTGTGCAGCCCATTATCCAAGAGTGTGACAGCTACTATTTGATTTTTAGAATAGACTTGTTTGAATAAAACATACATTTAAGATTATACAATTTCCATCGAAAAGATTTAAACAGTAATAAGCATTCATAGAAAACTTTTAAGTTTCGTTTAAGCTTTTAAATTTCCTTTTCTCAGATTATGACTTTAGTTCTTGTTCCTGTAGGCCAATTTTAAGATCCTTTGATTAGTATACCAAAATTTTCCCAACGGTGCTGCTTTTGCTTCTAATATGACAATAGGAAATTTTACACGTAGCCATGTATTAATGTACTAGGAAAAAAGATTTAAGTTTTGGGTTAAAGTTCAATCACTAGATCATATAAAAATTAAAGTTTAGGTTTATGAAACTCATATAAGTCATGGTAAGGAATAAGATTTGAATTAATTGTTATAGAATTACAGGGCACTATGTTGATCATAATAGGTTAATGGAATAAATAAAAATTAAGTCATTTAAGTAAACTTATAGATTATAGTGTTAAGTTGATAATATCAACCGTTAAAAAATATTAGGAGTCAGAAACTTGGATTGAACCTAGAGTTAACTTAGAAAGTTTTTGTATTAATCAGGGTTTAGAACAAAGAGTATAATATGAATGATTTATTGAACACTATGGAAGACATTTTTGAACAATTGAAATTGTGCACCTGTGACCTTGATGTGAGTTTTGTGAAGCACGTCAGGCATCATGGAGTTTGAATTGTCTGCTTGGAACTTGCAAGTCTCGTGATGGTCTTGTGATGCATAATTTGTAAACCGCAATATACATCATGGAATTTGTACGCCCCCAGTAAATAATTATCACACTGCTGGAGGGTATAGAAAATGGCATATAAGTTGGAAAAGGTCTGAATAAAATTGGCTTCAGTCCTGATCAGACTGTTCCCAGAAGAGCTGCCTCTGAGTGGTCTCTTCTCGCCGTCTCCTGATTCTCCGGTGCGGGTCCTAACCCTTCACTCCAAGGTCGGAGCGGGTCTCCGACACATAAGTAATAAACTTTCACAGCAGTACCATGTCAACATCAGCTGCTTTCTCCCACCTGCCCTCACTGGAAGATGATTAAGTCTCCAGCTTGGTCAAACAGGCGTAAATTCTTAGTATTTCTCCTTACTAAGTAGTACATTTTCCAGCTTATCTCAGCAGCACCTGTAGCCAATTCCACACTGCAAATAAAACATAACCTCCTTTCCAATTAAATCATCAGATTCCTCCACATGAATCATTTCAGACCATTATTTAAGCTCTCAAGCAGGTAACTGAATATTTATGCTTTCACAATAATACCTAACACCCCAACATTTTTCAGTGTAAACAATCTTTTCTGGTGTTCATGTTATTAAGCCCATGAGGAAAGATTTATACGTGTGCTGGTGTAGAAGTTGGAGGAAACAGAAGTCAGCCACTTTAAGAAGGCTCCATGTTGACAATGATAATGGGGACAGGTTAAATCATATCCACCTTCACAGGTTAAAGCTGCATTATGCCAATGAGCAAAAGGAAAGAAAATTGCTATTTTCACTTTTTCTAGATGTTCTCTCATAAATTTTGTGACGTAAGTATGAAAAAGAGAAATAAGCATATTGCTGACCACATTTTTCATCTCCGGCTGCCCATTTTTAAAATAATTCCTTCTTTCTTAGAGAAAGTATTCCAAACAACAGAAACACTGGGAGCAAGAGAATTTCATTAAGGTATTCAATTTTTCCTTATAGAGAAAAACTGTTTTGAAAGGAAATAACAAAGAAAATGATCTACTGGTAGGTCATAACTGGAATTTTTTTTTTTTTTTTTTTTTAGTTGGAGTCTCACTCTGTCACCCAGACTGAAGTGCAGTGGCAGGCTTCTGGCCACCACAACCTCGACCTGCTGGGCTCCGGCGATCCTTCCGCCTTAACCTTCCAAGTAGCTGGAACTACAGGCACGTGCTACCACACCCGGCTAATTTTTGACGCATTATAGAGACATGGTCTCACCAAGTTGCCCAGGGGGAGTCTCAAACCCGCAAGTTCTAGCAATCCACTCACCTCAACCTCCCATAGTGCTGGTAAAACAGGCTGAGCCACCAAGCCCGGTCATAAACTGGAATTTTTAAAGGAAAGCCATAGATCTTTTTCCCAAACAGAGGAAAGGCTGTTTTAATATGTGCTCATTTTCACAATATTGAAAACTGAGCCACAATACTTAAAAATTTCTCCATTCTCATAGGTTTTAATAACATTTATTTCCAGAGCAGATGTGCAAAAATACATACATTGGAAACCTGAGTCTAAGTATGTTCAGTCCACAGTGGTGACAAAGAAAAGCGATCAGCACCTTAGGGATTTTTTATACAGGTAGGAGCACAACCTGGAAGCCAGATCTCTGTCAAGCATCACACCCATGTGGAAAACAAGTGTACTTACGCAGCTCGCCCACTTTCAAGATCTCACACAGCATCTTGGTCAGCTCTATGCTACTGCGGCCAAAGGGACATTCATGCTTGTCTTCTCGGCTACTGTTCTCAAGCACAATCTGCAACGGGAAACAGAATAGATCAGAAAGAGAATTCAGTTGCTGAAAACACCAAGAATATAGGCTTTACACCAATACAGATCTAAAGACTCCAGATCTAAGACTCAGGGACAGGATGAAACAGTACTCAAAGCATATAGGTCCTAAAATTTTCATTCTTTTCCAAATCCCTGATAATCTTCTTTGACCCTGTAAGAGGATATTTTTGCTTGTTGGTTTCCACTTATGTGGAGGTCCCTGTGGAGAGTTTTTCAGAATGAAACAACAAAAACATTTTATTCAAGTGACCCAACTACTCTCTTGTCCTCCCAGTTCTATCTTTCTTTCTTAGGAATAGCAACTCCTTCTGTGACTTTAATACTTTGAATTTCAATTGAGTATTTTTCAAGAAAGTCTCCATATTCTCACAAGATCTCACTCTCTGCCATCAGCTGACTAAACCATGCCTAGAAAACATGTGATACAATGGGACCAATCAGAGTTCTTCCCTGAGACTTTTATACTTAAGGGGAAAATTTGACCCAGCTATGCTGGGTCCCTGGGGTGTGGACTCAGGAGTCACCTGGATGTTGGTCCTTAAAAAAAGAAAATGAAACCAATATTGGAAGAAAGGCAGAGACAACAGATAATGAGAGCCCTGGAAGCATTTGCATCATTGCTTCCACTTGTTCCAGTAATACAGCTACTTCCCTGCTTTTATGGTTTGGTCACTCAATCCTTCTTCTGAAAATCTTTTTTGTTCATTCAATAAATTATCTTAATTTCACCCATTTCCCATTTTCCCCAAGAATACTTGCCTGTGGCACTTGCTGCTGCAGCATTTACCCTGTGATAACTTGCAGACTACCCCTAAAGTTTGCCACAAGTCTCACTTTTATTATTATTTTTGCATTGCTCTAGTATATCAATAGTCTTTGGACACAAATGACATCATTCTACTTCTAGCATTCTGTTTTTAGTAGTGGTATTTTCTTGTGATGTTCTACTTTGTGTTGTTCTGTGCTTTGAGATTTACCACACACAAAAAAACTATTAAATACTGATCTTCATAAACAGCTTTGTTACATTAGAATTAAAGACACGTTCTTTTAGAAATAACTCCAAGAACAGTTTTTATATTTTATTTTGACACTGAAAACCAGTCAGATGTGCTTCAGCCTCAAAAGGCATGTTTATGTAAAATTAACCCTTTGCACTTGACGACATGTCATGGACACTTACCAGCAACTTGACTATACTTTTTTACTAAATAGTGAAAAACAAATCACATCATATTAAAGAGTATAGCATTGGAACCAATTATTGAAATGATATTTGACTTATGGTGGAATTTTGGACATTGAGGAACTTATTTATTATCAAAAAATCTAAATTTTATATCTTATATTTTTCTAACATGTGGTAACATGTGAAACAATCACCTACACGCATTGCAGGTTCTTTGATACATGTTGTACAATAGTAGTTTGTTTGATGCCTTCTACCTGGTGGTTTTCTATTTGAGTCGACAATGCAGCCTTGTTTTCTTCCACTCACATTAATAATAAGTAACTTATTGTCCAGTCTGTTGTTTAAAGATGATGTGGAAAGATGTACTCATGATTCCTGAAAACCACTTCTCAACTGATGGATTAGAACTTTGACAAATTTCAAATGGGATATAAGTTTTTCTTTTTTTGGTTTTTGATGCTCAGTACAGTATATTGGAGTTAATAATGCATATCTCTAGTCCCCAGAAGAAGAATTTTCTCTGCCATTTAAAAAAATTTCCATAAAAAAATATGCAGAAGCATATTGATCCACACCATTCCTATGTGCAATATAGTTTAGAATCATTTCAGACTTTTTGACTGGTATGTTTCCACCATGCAATGTCCTTGTGGTAGATTTCATTCCTGCATGATTCCAAGCGCTGAGAATGATAACAATCCTTTTATCCTTCCATGTAAGAAGCGTAAGATTATTTTTCCTATACGCTGCTGGGTTTGTTGTTGTTGTTACTAAAATTTTTGGCTTTTTGATTTGTGCTGGTATTCCCTTTCAGTTGGCTTTGTATCAGTAAGATGACATTTCATCTTTAGTAGCTCTTTTGCTGGGACAATACTATTGTAATATTGGTCAGTAAACATGCGGTATCCTATTGCACTGGGAACTTTTTCCAATAACTTTTTATATAAATGTAAGGGAATTCTGGTGCTTACTGGAAGATCGGGTCAAACGATGTTTCTGGATGTTATGCTGCCATAGTAGGGAAGTACTGAAAAATGATACCCTGTTTTTGAATCAGCGCATAAATGTGTATACCCCATTTGGCAGGCTTGTTTGGATTGTGTGTTATAAATGATATTTGCTCTTTAAACTGAACAATGGATTCATCAACACAAATTGCCTGATCTTGTATAAAATATGGCGAAAATTTTTAATTCAACGTATTCCAAATAATTATTGGTCTTTTGAATATGAGCTCTGGTCTGCTCATCATTCGACACAGCTGTCTTCAAATGAAGCATTCAGAAGATTTGCATAAACCTTTCTCTACTGAATGTTCCTGAAAAGAAGAGTATGTTATGATTGAAAGCAGATGACCAGTACTCGTGCAAATTTGGCATTTGAATTATTACCATATTAGGATAACCATGATACAAGTCAAAAATTCCTGTCGGTCAACATCATGCCACTTATGCCAAATCAATTTGTGTGATAGTTGCTTTTTCCTTATTTTTTTGTCTGCATAATGATTTATTTTATTACACTATCCACTAATTCTTTTGTAAAATACACAGTAAAATGATCAATCGGTTCTCTTATATTACTTGCTATTTGTGGTCCTATTGCTTGAGGGTGTAAAACAACATTTATTCTCACTGAAGGAAAGTGTTTTTCTGTAACATCTTCCCATTTTTTCACTTGATGATACGTTGTCTTCCACTTCTTCAAAACTACTAACACTTTCATCACTATCACTTTCTATTACATTTGCCTTTTTATTCTTGGTGGGATGATGTCACTATTACTACTATCATTCTTACACATCAATGTTTATTTTTTTAAACTTATCTGTAAAACAGTCTAAATCCAACTCATCTTTGCTGCTGCTTATAACTCTGACTTTCATCTTTTCATTTTGTCATTGTTCTGCAATCTAAATAAATGGACAAAAAATTTCTAATTTATGAAGTCACAAAATGAAATTTACCAAAAGAAAATTACTTTTCCAATTTTACTTTTACGATTTAGTGCAGATAGATATATTCAACCTGTGCCACCAGATACTTCAATATGATCTGACATCAACTTCAAAAGTCTCTTTCTTTTAAGGCTACAATGCCTTGCTTACCTATCTTTTCAAGTTATGCCATATGATACAAAAGGTATACCCACAGCTGCTTTTCTTATACAAACACCCTTCATTGCTACCTTCTGTTTCAAAGAAGTTTCAGCACCACTATGAAAGCACTTCACACATTCTCTTTCTACATAATGCCAGCTGATTTTTTAAAATGTATATGTCAGTATATATTCCATCTCTTTATTTGCTTTTTTGCAATTTGAATAGAAAACTTCAAGGCAACATACATTTTTTAAAAATTTGTGCTTGCAAAAGTTTGTCCTGTATAATCACCAGCAATCTCTTTATGTCTTCCGAGAGGGACGTCTGAGTGGTTTGCTAGATTTACGATGTCCCCTCAGAGGGGACATCTGAGTGCAAAGGGTTACATGAACACAGAGGCAAGCTAAATTCTTTTTTTTATAAACAGGAAATGGGTTAAGCTGGTTTCCTTAATAACTAAGGAAACCATTCTATACACGGATTAAACAAAAATAAAATAAAATAACAAAACTCTAAAGTTACTAAGCTGCCACCAAAAATCTTCTCCATAGAGTTGTCTGATACATCCTCAAGAGCTACAAGCACATCACTTTGCTCGTTTTCCAGTAGCATCTACTGTGCAGTAACTTATTGTCCAGTTCTCTCTTCCCCACACACCCCAACTACGAACTGTTCAGCGGCAAAGATGAGTGTTTTACTCACTTAATAAACAATATTAATTAAACACCTATTATTTAACAGGAAGATGACTTGGGCCCACAAAATGGAGAACAAGATAAATAGAGTCCAGACTCCACTGAACATTTATTCTAACAAATGGAGACAAAAACAAAAAGGGTAGTTATAGTTTGTCAAAAGTGCTATTAAAAAAAACTTGTTTAGTAATAAAGAGTAACAGAAGGCTTGGTGAGGACAGTTTAGATAATCAGGTGATCAAAGAAGTTCTCAGATTACAGACACAAAAAATGAGAAGCAGCTTGCTACTCTAAGGTCTGTGATAAAGAACATTCCAGGTAGAGGGATCAAGGTTAGAGCCCCCTTGAGGTGAGCTGAGCAGTGTGCTTGCCTCCCCAAAGCACACCCAGCTCAGCCTCCCCAGAGCACACCCAACTCAATCCACCCCAGCACAAAGGGTCACATTCTACTCTGAGCCAGAATCGCCCTCTTTCTTTTAAGGGAATGCGTTCTGATTCTAAGGAGAAACTCCTGTTCTGGAAAGCAGGAGGGGAGAACAACTAAATTCCCATCAAACAGTGAATCTTATTTCTGTTTTAAAAAATTTGTTTCTGAGACAGCTATATCAGGGAGCAAATCTGAATCTCCTGATGATGGGAAAATGAGCTAAAAAAAAAAAAAAGAAAAACAGAGAGAGAGAGAGAGAGAGAGAGAGAAAGACAGGACATAAAGAAAAGACAGGAGACAGGTAGTTTTCAGCAGCTTCCAGCTCCCAGCGAGCACATTCCCTTGTATTTCATATTAACATTCTATTAACATTTCATGAGAACATCAATATTTAATGAGGATGTGATCTGCATACACTGTAGGTAGAGTTACTGCAGCCAATAAATGTTTGGGAAACGATTCCAAGGCACAGTTTATTAGCAGGCACTAAATTAAGTAGTAATTTAAGTAATCAATATGTAAATCAGTTTAGTGAAGCCCTTCTCTT